TAATTCTCCGGAATGCATGCAGATATGTTAATGACTTGTGTATGACTCGTCACTCGGCTGTAGATCCTCAAATCATCTCAGAATTGGTGCTGACACTGTCCTTGGACCTCAGCCTTAAAGTGACACTAAACTCAAGAGTTGAATTTTAAAAATGAATTCAAGTACCTTAAATATTAACAAAAATGTATCTTTTTTGTTTATCACTCAGCTGTCGCAGAGTACAGAGGTCAGCAGTATGACGTACAGTACACAGGTCAGTAATGCAACGCAGAGTACAGAGGTCAGTAATGTAACGCACAATACAGAGGTAAGCAGTATAAAGGTCAGTAATAAGGCACAGTGTAGAGGTCAGCGGTGTAAGGAAGAAAGAAAGAGGGACTTACAGTGCAAATAGCTCATGTGATTCAGGTGCCCACTTCCTTTGCCGGTGGTGGTGGTGGGGGAGAGGTGTACAGCGATGTATCCTCCATGTCCGAGGTGAAGCCTCTCTTCAGGTCCCACACTGTCCTGCCAGCCGGCCAATTGTTTCTCTGCAGTCTTCCTCCCAGCCTATGGCAGCTGAGAAGGGCGGAGGAAACTGACGGTGGCCAGGGGTGGCGGAGTGAAGACAGCTGCACTGCCTCAGAAGTGACGATCACCCGAGGAGGAGAAGAGAAGGGAGGGAGAACTGAACGGGTGATCGCCACTGCTGAAGCAGCGGCAGTTTCCCCCCGCTGGTAGCACCCCCCAGTGATTTTCCACTCGCCCCCACGCAATTTTCACTCACCAATTGCGAGGGGGTGAGTTGAAATTTTGAGCCCTGATCTATGGTACATTTGGACTCAGCAAGCACTTCAGTCTACAGTAGATGGAAGACTGAGGAACGTGTTAAGAGTAAGGCTCTGTTCACACTGGGCTTTCTGGCATTCATGCAGCAGGAATGCCGGGTGTTTCTTTTATTGTCCATAACTTTGTTTGGGGAATTTCACTTCCTGTCTCTGTGACAGTGTAGAGCCCACCCTCTAAGGAGCCGCCAGAATAACCGCCCTCTTCTACTAGCCCACAAAGCTGGTATCCACTCCAGTAATGCAATGCTAAATAACTTTTATTAACATTTCCATACTGGGGAGAGAGGGTATAGGGATTCCAGACATCCAGGGTGTAACAGACATAGACTCCAGACTCACCAGAACTTTTTAGCATCTCAGTGTAGATCCTCTTGTGGTACATCGAATAGTAATTGGAGTAACAGATGAATAGGGGATGAGCACAGATCCTCAGCAGGAAAGACACCACACATGCACCTCTATGTTCTAGGCACCTCCAGTAGCCACCATCTTTCCTGGTTCTCCTTCTGTGGCAACAACACAGGCCTTCTCCATAATTGAGGCACAGGGAAACATTTCCCACACTCTGCCCACCTAGCCTGGGGGTTGGCTGGACGGCACCCAGTCCTGACTAGTCTGAGTACCCTATCCTCTATCCTATTCTGTATGTGCCCTATTCCAGCATGCACCACTGGCTGAAAGAAACCCAGTGTTTGGCTGCTGTACTGTACATATACGCACAGTGCCTCTCATTGGCTGTCCATCAATACAGCAAAGTCACACTCTACCCAGGGGAGTAGTCAATGCCAGACACTGGGAATTAACCACATAAATGCCACTATAATCCAGCCAGGCTGACTACAGTCCTGGCAATCACTTAATGTCTAGTTTACACCTCACAAAAGGTGATGGGGAATACACTAGCAAGACAGGAAAAGACGGCTACTTGAACAGGAAAACAGAGGTTCTAACCTACTTATTTTATTGAAGTGTTTTGCTAAAGTCTGTGTCCTTAGCGTAAATCTATTTGCAAGGGTTATTGCAGTAGGGCTTTTACTTCCTTGCTCCTCTCAGTCTGGTTAACCTATTTGTAACTTGCATATTATTTCAGAATAGAAATGTATCTTATTGTCCAGGTGTGAGACTGGGCACAGGGGTTTACCTGGGTATACAGTAATATCCTAAATAGGGCGTACATGCAAGATCTAAAAACACTTCACATAAATAGGCACTCTTTTCTCTGCACAGAAGGAAATCTTTGCTTACAAATGTAGAGGGAGAGTATTTTGCTATAAGCTGCAATATATAAGTACGTACAACAGCAATCTACAAACTGGAACTTTAATACTTGTTCTCCATATTTTATAGTTTTTTTTTCTCCATATATCATCTGTTCATTTGTGCTTACTGCTCCCTACTGGCGATTTTGCCAACTCTTCCCAGCAGGCTTCTTTCAGTTTTTGAAAAGTAAAAGTTCACGTGCCGCAATGATAGCAATCAACTAGGAAAGAAAACGACTCACCTCTTTCAGAGGTTCGACCTGTTAGATGTGGCCAGTAGTAAAACATATGTTGTAGGGTTCCTGCTGAGCACAATCTTTTAAGCTAAGGGATAACAGGGATATGAGAAACTGAAATTGCCAGCATTTCTACTGCAACATGAAGAACAGGGATAAGGCAGGGAGGGGAAAAAGATAAAATTTGCATTAAACATCAGCAAGTTTAAATAAGATCCTTCCAGAGACAACAAAGTTTGTGTTTTTTCTTAACGGTTTGCTAATTACAGTAAGAAGCAAATGTAGTCAGACATGTGCGATTCGTTTTGTTCTAAAACAAAATTCGAAAGAATTTTCTGAAATTTGGACAGATCCAAATGTGTCTGAATCCGAATTTCCGTTTCTGAATTTCGGATCCCGTCCGAATTTCGTTCACAAACGACACCGAATCGGACATGTGACTTTTCTGGCCAAGCAGATGTGTTTTTCGGTTTAATACATCAGAATGGGTCTTATCACGAATTTTCGTTACTGCAACACGGGGGCCATATACAGTGTATAATAATACTAAAGCTGAGGCTCCCAGACCCCAATTGCATTCGGGAGCTCCCAAATGCCATTCGTGTCTGGGAGCCATATGCATACAGCATATTAATATGCTCACACTTGGAGACTCAGATACATAGAGTTAGGACCACACTTTGCAGAGGTGCCTTGGCGCGGCAGTGTGGCTTCTACATATTTTTGGCCAAAAGTTTGTGCAACTAAAACCTCTGATTTTAACGCATACTGTTGACAGGGCTACTTGTTTGGTTGCAGGCTGGCTGGCAGGTTGGGGCTGGGGAATTTTTGTGTTTTGTAGTGTTGTAAGCCTTCCCATTGTGCTCCCTGCTATAAAGGCTGGTTATGGATTCATGCATGTACCACTTCTTTCGCGTTTCGAGGCACAGACACTTTGTCAAGCCTCAAAGTGAAGATCTTCACTCGTGTTTTTTTATATATGTACTGAATTGCAGGGTCCTCTCCCTGTTGGTAGGAGCTAGCACGCTATACTTTTTCAGCCCGCTTCCACTCAGGATTTATAACCAGTTGTGCGCTTGTTTCATCTGTTTGTGATCTTTCTGCAAGTAACATGGTTTGCGAGTGTTCCGCAAGACAAACAAACATTTCTGAAATATTTTGCCTTGATATACGAGCGATGTCTTGCAATACGAGAAAAATTTTGTAGAAAAGCACCACCCAAATAAAGCTGTAGCAGTGCCAGCGATGAATCTGTTTAACAACAATGCAATGTCACATTTCCGCGAAATCCTCAAAAGGAGGCAACAGCAAGTGTCATTGGATAGATTCTTTGCTTAAGGTTTCACGAAATGAAAGATTCCATTGAGCCAAGAGATAGCAATAATTCCGTTAGTGAAAGTCGTCCTACACAATAATTCTCCTCTCTTGTCTTCCTCACACCAGCCACGAAGGTACCTGTAATTGGTTTATTTTTCTTTATATTTTGTACAGTATTAGATTAAAGTATTGTAATCATTTTTATATGAATATTTTTGGGTTCTGGATTGTAGTGCTCCCTTACAATGGTGGTCACTAGAGAAGTACCCCCCTTAGATTGGTGGTCAGTGGGAGAACCCTCCCTCCCTTTCATTAATAGTGAGTAGGAGAAGGCTGCCCCTTACATTTATGGTCAGTGGGAGAAGGCTCACCTTGAAATCTTTGTCCTTAGTCTGCTCTGACTTGTCCCTGGTGATCCCATTATTCTGTCTATACCTCTCCTTTGGATACTCCAGTCTTCAGCCGGTCCCTATCCTTTGGATTGCCCCTGGAGGTCCTAGTCATCTGTCTGTCCCTGACCTTGTCAACCATTCTTGGCCGAGGCGAGTTGGGTTAACCTAGGGATTGTGACCTGGGGTCAACATGCAGACAAGCCCATCTCCACCATCAGGAGCTCTGGTGAACACTGGCTGGCCCTTAGATTCCACATCCTGGGGGACCCCATGTCACCTACCTTTACTACACCCTGCCCAACCAGCCTATTCTGTCTTCCACCACCTCCTTCAGTTCCCCTGCTTGCACTCCAGCTCTGGTAGTCGTCAGTCTACACTGCTTGCACCCTTTTCTCTAAGTGTCCCTGCCAGTGTAGTAGATAGGGTCCACAGACCTGATTCCAGTTTATACCCTGACCCATGACAAGGTTCATACAACAATCAGGCTTTCAGAAGGTTAAAAAAAAAACCCCAGGTCATCTTGATGCCTTCTCTACCAAACATCCTCCCCTTCGAAAACTAGTTGCCGTATGGTGATTATAACGCCGGTGGTTATTTTCCATCTAACGTTTTCTACAATATGTTTTGTTATTTATATCCAACTACCTTTTTGGGAGCTCATTTTTTATTCACCTTTATATAGTGTCATAACTTTTGTATAAAAGTTACTATCAGACGCTGGAAATATTATCTATTCATGTCTTGATGATACCAGGAAATAAAAACAGGCCATCTCTGGGCACCACAACTAGATAAAATATTAGCTACATTGAAAAATGTGTGGCCATCAGATAAGTGGTCATTCTATCGTTTCATTCATAAAAGGCACTGCCTATAAACAAAGCAGACTCAGCCCCTATGACTGAATGGAGGTTGGTACTGGTGTAGGCAACTAATGTAATGTGTGTTGATAAGAATAATAAAACCAGTAACCAAAACCAATAAAAATTTATTGAAAGTAAAATAATCATGTGACTAGCAGACGGAGGGAGTAGTTAGTGAGCTACACAGCGTGCACAGTTTAGATTTTGGGGAGTTTTGGTGCCGTTACAACAGGGTTTGCTTCCTGCAAATGTCTTCTTCCTGCAGTCTTGTAATCATATGTGCAGTTGTGAGTTTCTGCATATCGATGAGTGGCACAAAAGTTATTTCCACATCTACAAAATAAGAAATATATATTTACTGTGTGAAAATAGGTCAGTAGTGTACAGTAAGCGTCCACCATTATTAAAGAATAGCAAAGCAGTCATTTTTTGCCCATATTTGTGAATATTTAAAGGTCAACTCCACCCAAAAACAAAGAAGGCAATGTTAGAAGGCAAAGCAGAAGTATGGATCTTGTGCAGGTTTTAGACAGACACTTAAAAAAAAAAAAAAAAAAGGTACCCATTAGAGCTGCAACAACGAGTCGATTTAGTCGATTAAAATCAATTGTCGATTAGTCGGCTATCTATTACATTGCCTGTTCGCGGCTCCACACACAAGCCGCGCACGCCGCGGTTCAGCCTCCAATCCTGTCGCTCCTTACATCTAGCCGGGCCGATCACATGACGGGTGCCGGGGATGCGAGCACGACGAGGGACGGAGACTTTGGCTGGGGACGAGCTGGCATCCAGGCTGAACCGTTCAGCAGAAAGACATGGAGGGACTGTTCAGACAGTAAGTGTCCCGAGCACCCCGGAGCCTGGGACCCGACACCGTGCACCCCAATCCACCATCATACCCATCCTCTGCACCCCATCCCACCATCATACCCATCCTCTCCATCCCTGCACCCCATTCCCTCCATCATACCCGTCCTCTGCACCCCATCCCATCATCACACCCATCCTCTCCATTCCTGCACTCCATTTCACCATCATACCCGTCCTTTGCAACCCATTACACCATCATACCCATCCTCTCGATCCCTGCACCTCATTCCACCATCATACCCATCCACTCCATTCCATCATCATTATCATAACCGTCCTCTGCACCCCATTCCACCATCATCATACACTGTCCTCTCCATTCATCATACCCATCCTCTGCACCCCATTCCACCATCATACCCGTCCTCTCTCTGCACCCCATTCCACCATCATATCCAATTCCACCATCATATCCAATGTCTGCCCCCCATTCCACCATCATACCCATCCTCTCCATCCCTGCACTCCATTCCACCATCATACCCGTCCACTCTCTGCACCCCATTCCACCATCATATCCAATGTCTGCCCCCCATTCCACCATCATACCCATCCTCTCCATCCCTGCACTCCATTCCACCATCATACCCATCCTCTCTGCACCCCATTCCACCATCATACCCAATGTCTGCCCCCCATTCCACCATCATACCCATCCTCTCCATCCCTGCACTCCATTTAACCATCATACACGTCCTCTCCATCCCTGCACTCCATTCCACTATCATACCCGTCCTCTCCATTCCATCATCATACCCATCCTCTGCACCCCATCCCACCATCATACCCGTTCTCTATTCCTGCATCATACCCAATAACACCAGCTATAGAGGAATACATCAGATCCCAGCAAGAATACATTATACGCAGTGCAATGCAGAATATCAGCAGCTACAGGGGACTACAAATCCCAGCAATAGTCCCCTGTAGCTGCTGGTATTCTGTGTTGCGCCGTATAATCATTATACAGCGCACTGCAGAATACCACCAGCTATAGAGGAATTACAAATCCCAGCAATAATAAATTCTACAGCGCAACGCAGAATAACGCCAGCTACAGAGGACTACAAATCCCAGCAATAGAACATTATAGTATAATGTACTATTGCAGCGATTTGTTGTATTCCTCTATAGCTGCTGGTATTCTGCATTGCGCTGCTGTATAATGTACTATATTACACCACACTTTTTTTTTTATTTTTTTTTTACTTCCACCGCTCCAAGCTTGCTCCTGTGATGGACTACAATCTCAATACAAACTAGTAGTCCATCACTGGAGCCTTTTTTTTAAATCCGATTAACCGCTTAATAATCGGCTAACTAATCAATTATGAAAATAATAGTTAGCTGCAGCCCTAGTACCCATGACCGGTTTGAAGGAAGCCACCACACTTCCAGCTGCTGCTGGAAATAACCATCCATTTGCAAGGTTAAAAAGTTTTTCCCCTCTAAAAATCCCAGATGAATGTCCCATTCACTACCATGTGTGGCCTCTGTCTCTTTTGTTTAGCCTAAAGTCAAAAGGTAAATCATGGACAGGGCAAAAAACACACAAACTAGTGAGCAGGAGATCTCACTCTGGAGTCTCAGAAAAGTATATCGAGGCAACATGAACTGCACTATACCAGTCTTAGCCAAAACTGAATTCAAATATTGGGCTGCATAGTATTGAGTAGGCGTAAAAAAAGCTCACAAAGTGGATTTACATCCTTTGTGGCTATTGAGGAATATACTTCCATTAACGTTTTGTTGCCCGGAGTCCAACTCTAAAATTAGTAGAAGATAAAAACTGGGCAGTTTATGAAGTGATCTATTAAGGGGTATCTATGGTTAAAAACTAAAAATAAAATATGTATATCTACATTGAATTTCCATAAGCTCGATCCCACTCCTAATAACCATATTGATCTAGAAGTTTGTAAACCTACTTATTGAAGATTCCCCTAGGTTGTACTTCCTAATGCACGGACATAATTTCAGCCCTGTGAATAGGCACTTTTTCTGTCACAACTCACAGAGCCTGCCTCCTGAACTACAACTCAACGTCTGAACAATGTAAAATCATCATTGCTTACTGGAGCAATGCATTATGGGATATGGAGAAATTGAGATTGCATTAGGCAACAGGAAAAGAGACACAAAGCACACTGGGAATCCAGGAAGTTGTTGAAAATGATGGGCAGACAGAAGGCAGCACTCGCTATATAAAAAGGGATTTTTTTTCAACTAAGCTCTGATTGCATTATCTAAAAGAACTATAAAAATGTATTCCTATTACAAAGCCAATGTTATAACAGGACAGTATATGCTGGGACTTTACAACTCCTTTAAAGGGTTCCAGGTTTACAAGACATCCTTAAATGGTAGTGCAAGAATCGGAACAAGCACCAATCACCCATAGCACTGAGATGGAGCTTTCCATTGACAAACGAGACAAAAAAAAAAAGATATTATACGATAAATATTATACGAGTACAACTTATGTGAACACATGTCATGCAAATCTAGCAACAGCATAAATAATCAAAGAGGCAGCTACAAAAAATAAACAACACCTACATAAGGAAGGTTAATGGTTAATGGTGCAGTCTTCATTGTTGTAGCCGTTTGTTACAATATAGCTAGCATAGGCACGTTCCTGCCCCGTGTTACTGATTCTAATTTTTTTTTTTAAGGTTTTCAAGGGATGGTCTGAATGTAAATGATCACCTGCACTCGAAGCTTGTTGCCAAATTGGTTCTCTTACGACACAGGAAACAGTGCTTAGTGGTTTTCTTCTTATTGCGAAAGGCAGGCTTCACAGGAGGGAAAAGATGTGTTGCTTCAACTGTGAATAAGAATAATACATCTTTATAGTGCACTTACAGCACCGTGGCACCCATGAAAGAAATAAACTCCCTTCCAGAACACACACAACAGAGCAGTTCTCAGGATAAAGATCATTGCTGCACTTATCAAGTTGTTTGCTCTCGCATTGTGCTGCAATAAAGAGAACTGGAATTTCTGTGAAATAAATAGCAGCAATTTTAAAAACGAGCCCCAATTTGGGGGCAGAAGCAAAATTGCAGCTTAGCGTTTAGCACATCAGAGTAGATACAATGGAGCCCTGGGTTGGATTGCCACGGAGTTAGCATGAGATATGTGTTTGAGCTGAAACGGGAACTGGTCAGGAATCTCGAAAGATATTTACTGTAGATATCAGGCCTTAGATATATAATTATAGTTATTATATAATTATTAGATTGGTTGGACAAATGTATTTTTTGTTGTTGTTTAGGAGTCAACTCCATTGACGACTAGAGAAAACCTCAACGTTAAGAATCGGCTGTAATTTTTAGGGTGCATTGGCTACTTGCCTCATGGGGTTAGCATTTGAACAAAATGCTGAAGCCCATTATAAAAGGCAATTCATACAAATAGATGGTTATAGGTGTAAAAAGCGGTAATTGCACCTTCGGGAAGGAATAAGTCCATGTGCACAAATACAATCATTGTTAAACAAATATTGAGGCTAAAACCCTTTTGGAAAATTATACAGAAAGAACCAATACAAATGCTTTTGAGGATTTAGCAGGAGGACAGTAGATGGTCGCAGAAAGGGAACTGCCTGGAAGCTTTAGTAACTGCACAACCCCCCAGTTCATTACATAATGGACGATTTTTTAAGGGACCGTAATATACAGGAGTACAGGTACTCCTAGAATGAGATCCTAATAGGTTGGACTTGATGGACTAATGTCTTTATTCAACCTCAAATACTATGTAACTATGTATAATGAGAATAAGGATTCATTCGAATGGGGCTTTTCAGGATGGACAGTGGATTCTTGCGGCAAGAATCAGGAGGACTCTTGTGGCTGGATTTACAGAAAGTTCCAGACAGCTGTGGCTACTCAGCCTGTATAAAGCAACAAAAGGCTGACAGGGGCTGCATTGAACATATGTATCAGTTACCTGTGGCTAGAGACAGATAAATGGCCCTGAACACAGATAGATTGCGTCCACGGCCAGTCATCTGTCCCTAGCCACATATAATCACTGGATTGCACATCCAGTGATTATCTGATACATGCAAATAGTGGAGGACAGCTGCAGCTCCTGTCAACCTGTCATTACTTTTTACAGGGAGCCCCTGCGCTTTGTCTAGCCGTAGCGTAGTATAATGTTCCTGGACCAGCAGGTCCTGATGTCTGCAGATTATAGGATCATCCATCATAAGACTGAGTTGCATTAATCATAGCCCTTACCCATTTTCTTTCCAAAGTCTGCGTTGGCCTCACTCTCTCCAAGGCCATGCGAAGTCTGAGGAAAAATTGCAAAAAAAGAAGTTTATGTATATTAGAGAAAGAAGAAATCAAAAACACATTTAAATGGCAAAAATATACGTAAGCTATGGCAAACTGAAAAAGGAACTGGAAGAACTTGCAATCAGCTTTCCAACCAATAAAGTCATATTAATTTCAAGGGTCTTAAACTTTTTTCCTGGGGCATGAATAATAAAGTCAGAGAACTTATTTTACAGTACATTGGCACCATTTAAATGCAGCCAAGTCAAACTTCAAACATAATTAATCAGGTCTATGCTAATGCTTGGTGATCCTAAACTTACTGAGCTGTAAAACAGAAGTAGAAATATCTACCTAATGATTAAATAAGGGTGCAAACTGCATGAAACTCAAAACGCTCGCCAACATATTTAAAAGGTAATACAGTAATTATTTTTTTTATAATAGCCAAGAATAAAAAAATACATGTTAGTCAAATATGAAATATTGCTTATAAATATTGTAGCCTTCTATCCAGCCAGCAGCTTAAGGCTCATTTTTCATGTTTTCCTTCATCTTCTCTAAAGCAACAATACAGATCAATAGCTCAACCTGAAATCTAGAAGAGAATAAGTAAGAGCAGCAACTCCCTCATCAACGGTCACACAAAAGGAAGCCAAAAAGGCAGGAAGCTCCTGTTTTAAAAATGTACCCAAACCTATTTTAGTTTCTCTTTAAAGAGAACCAGTCATGACTGGGCTTATGTAAATATCAGGCTTTCAAGATTTACATTAAATTTGTTATAATTCTACGCCGTTTCCTAATTACCACTGTAATTACTTTTTTCAGCTTTACATACGGATATCCAACAGTAATTCCTTGTTCCACTGCTACTTATGCTCTCTTTCAGCTCCTAAGTATCAATCTCAAGTGTCAAACACAGCCATGTAGAATTTTACATTCCTTGACCACATGGCTCTGTTAGGCGAAACTGTTATGGTACAAGATGGATTCCGATTAGTTGCTATGTCTTACTGCAACTAAGATATCAATATATAATATAGTAGCTTACCAGTCCTTAGATAAGAACATTTTGAGCACTTCCAAAAAATAGCCGTTGATCTTGCCAGAAGTGTCCTTGTCAACTCCTGTGATCGGAACGGATAAAAAAAAAAACCTAGACTTTTCGATTCAACTGCTAATCCAATACTATGTAGTTAAGATGAACAAAAGGTAGATGTGTTTGATGTCCAGTATGGATGGCAAAAATGTCTATACTCATTCAGTGGGTTGTGTCTATGGAGGCAGACACCTTCGGACACAAACGGGTTATTTGCAAGATTACCCAGTGAAAAAAAAAGTGAAAAAGCCAGAAAATAAGAGCCCTAATGCCGGCACTTCATCCAATGACTGGTCAACTTTGTTTTTAGGCTTAGATATGCTTTAGGAAAAAGAACTCATAGGTGCTGATGTACAGTCACATTCAGGCCAGTGTACAGCTCAGAAGATGTTTGCACAGCTTTCTGGCCACTAGATGGAGCATAGGAACTTCTTGTCTCCATCTATTGGAGGGAATGCCATGCGAATGGCATTCACCCAGCTTTACATTAGGCAAAACGTTTATACAGCAGCCTCTGAGTTCCACACCAGGGCAAAGTGGGGACGTGCATCGTGAGAATGCGCGTTCCCGCACGTTTGCGGGACTTTGTTTCCTGCATTTGGCACAGGTCCCCATTCTATCCCTGGCAACACCGGAAAAGAAGTACGTCGCAAACATACTCGGCAAGTCTGTTGTTACAACGGAACAGCCAGTAGCACTCCCTCAAAATCTTTTACTTGCCACCTATACATGCTCCTGCTAGGTCTACACCGTGCAGCCCGCAGTGAGTAGCACCTAGAAACTGAAGAGTCCCGTGGAGAAGCAGTCCAACAGCCTTTTCATTTTAAAACTTGAAGGATGTATAAAACGAGTTTAAACATCCTGTGTAGACTTTTACACTTTTTCCCCATTTCATTTTCTTAATATAAATTTAAGTATTTTATTATAAATAGGAAAGGTGTGCCCATTGGTGCACATGACATATTAGGTTGGAAAGTACTGAAGTAAGAAGGTCAGAACAATAGGCAGGCAACTTTAAAGACTTTTCCTTTTAAAGTGAAGAAGTCCTTTAAATGTAAAAGCTACTGAACAAAGTAAAAGGTACTGCAATGTACTGATCTGTGCCCTATGTACCATTGAAGTCTAGGATATTCCTTTAACCCTACTGTGAGCAGATGGACTCCATAATAAAATACAATCATTATTGTAGTATTCTTACTAGATATAATAGGTAACATCATTTGGTTAATAAAGTCAATGAACTAGATACAGATTTATTACATTGGGGGAATTTAATCAAAACTGGAGCAGATAGATCTGGAGCATTTGCTCGTTGCAACCAATCAGCTTCTCTTTAGTTTGTTCGGTTAAGGTTTGAAAATTAAAGAGATGCCGATTGGTTACGATGTGCAGCTACTCCAGATTTTGATAAATTCCCCTCACTGTATGCTCTTTGGTTTTGCTCTTCAAATATGTAATTTCTGGGTATAATTACATTCAATTTAGACAATGGGTAGTAACAAATCAAACAACTTAAATACTTACAATGAAGATGCTCCCTTTGTCATTGAGAGAGGAAAGGTTCTCATTCTGAAGACAAGCTGATGGAGCAACAACAGTCCGGAATTGGGAGTTTTCCCTACTTCCGCTTCGAGCCAGCGAAGCAAAAAATCTCAGGTTGTTAAGTGAGCCCACAGGTTCCTGGGATGACTTGTTGGCTACCTCAGTCATGTCGCTAGCCTCCACTTTTGAAATTGCACTGGATCTCTTTCTTGGAGATTCCACTCCAACACCTCTAAACCTAGAAGTCCTGGAAAAAGTGGGATCGGCCAAGCTTCGAAGCTGCAGAGAATGGAAGAGATTGTGTGACGCAGGTGGCCTCAAGCTTCCTAAATCAAAGCATTTAGGCTGTTGCTGTGTTTTAGGGAAGACATTATCGTTGATCGGGCTATAAATGTGAATGGGTGACAGAAATTTGTTTCTTGGGGGACTAACATCTGTTGCATTAAGAATCCCAGTCTCCATCAAATCAGAATTTAGAGCATTTGGGACTGTGGTTTTGTGGGTCTCAATGGTGGGAGCCTCTTTCTCTGCTTCAGCCAGTTCAAACTCAGATTTTACTTTCCCCAAACTGCACAGTTCATCATACTGCTCTGAGGACCCTACATCAGTTAACAGTGCAAAGCACTCTGTGCCTGTTCTAGAAGTTTCTTCAGGTGAAATTATATTTAGATTTGAATGCAATATAGAGTCATCATCTTTTGTCAATATATATTTTTTAGGCAAAGAAGAAATATGGGGGAGGGTGGTGTTTGTTGAAAGTTGTGAGTTTTCAAGTTCTACTGGGGATACTATGGTAGGGAAGGTAATACTCGCAAGTGACGAAATCACTGCTGAACTTTCAGAGGTCTCTTCTTCCTTAAGACCATCACCGGCAATCACAGTTAGAGTACTAGCAGCAGCAGTTAGAGTAGAAAGTGCATTGTGGGAAAGCTCAGCAGCGTGAAGGTTCCCAGGAGGTAGGCACGTCTGTCCAATGTGCGGGAGGACTTTTAACAGCCTGTAACGACCAGCTACCATTGAACCATTTGAGGGACGTGGTGCCATAGGGGGTCTTGGTTTAAGGATTGGAGATCTCCTCAGCTGAAAGAGAAATTAAAGAATATAAAATTACAAAAAAAAATAAAAAACACACTAATGAAGACGGTCAATATTTTCTGAAATCTTCGAATAAGGTCACCCGTTTAAGGAGATAAAACACGTACACTTTGTAGAGATTTCTACTCGCTTCCTATAGTGTCTCCATGACAGGAAGGAAGTGAAGGGAAATCTTCCTAATAGGACACAAAGAGCAAAAAATACATAAAACGTACGCCCCTCATGTCTATACATACACTAAGAAGTTTTTAGGTTCCCATTCACATGACAATTATAAGAACTGATTAACAACTTTAAAACCAAATGCTCTCAGCATGGGGTAAGAAGGATTCCTGACACAGAACAATATTTGATAAGCAGTGAGGGTATATTGAACTGCCTGTTAATCCATTACATCTGCTGAACATCTGCATTCTTAATAAACAGGGGCCATCCAACAGTGAGATCTGCTCATGTATGACCAGCTAAATAACAACGTGACCTTCACTGACTCATGGAAGAGAAAAAAAAAAAAGGAGTAAAGCGCAACAGAAAAGACATGAGAAAAAGGGG